GTCGAAAACTTTTGTTATGTTACCTAATCTCTGAATATTTTTTTTTCGTGATTTTTTATGTATGCGATCTTGGAGTGTGTACAAATAAATTTGACGGTTGGATCGTTGAAAAAAGTTTCATAGAATGCATATCGCGTCAAAAGGGTAGATTAAACAAACACTTAGAGTTAATATTATACTTCCATTAAGTATAGTGTAAATATTTTAAATTGAAGATCGAATTAGTTCAATGCATTCTTATAAAGTCAAGGAGTATAGCTGTAAAAAATCATCAAAATCAGAGCTAAAATAACCATTAAATTGTGATTTTTCGTTTATATCGTCGAAAACTTTTGTTTTGTTACCTAATCTCTGAATGTTTTTTTTTTGTAATTTTTTACGTATGTGATCTTGAAGTGTGTACAAACAAGTTTGACGATTAGATTATTGAAAAAAGTTTTCGTAGAATGTGTATCGCGTCAAAACGGTAGATTAAATAAACACTTAGGGCCCGTTTGTTTGATAGGATTAGGGAGGACTGGACTGGACTAGACTACAGTCCCTTGTTTGGTCTGCACCAAGATTAGGTTTAATGGGATTAGGTCTGACTCGCTAGGATTAAACCCCTCACTAGGAGTTCTAAGCGAAGCACCCCGATCACCCCCGGACTTGTAAGACCTCCTACGCTCCTGCGCTCCTGCGAGAGAGAACCTCGCTCAACCTCGATCCTCGACATGCTCCCTCCTTGCCCTGCTTCCTCATCGTCGTCCTCCTCATCATCATCTCTGCGTCTTGCTCGCCCTCAACTCCATCTTGCTCGCCCTCATCTGGTAAACTTCGAATCCGACATTATTTCTTCGATTTTTTTTTGCAGATCGTGATATTACTGGGCTTTATTTGATTTAGGTGTTTTGAGTTTGAGAAATTTTGAATTATAGACCTCTGCACTTGAACAAATTAGGTTTTTGATTTTTAGGGTCAAATTGAGATTAGAATTTGGGGTTTTCACATTTTATGCCATTTTGAGTACCAAAATGATGATAATCATCACGAAATTGCTGCTGTAAACTTCGAACGCCACTGTTACTTTTTGGGTATGTTTCTGTCCTACTTTTACCCAGTTTGAATATGTATTCATAGTTGTCGGATTAAAACGTATATGTAGTTTTTGGGAAGTGATGAGTAAAATGGCTAGAATTTTAGGAAGCTTTGCGCTTCTGGTTTTCATCGGATAGAGGGAACACGAAGAGGGAGAGGAAAAGAGAAAATATTAAGTTTAATTGTAATTTTAAATTTGTTTTTATAGTGTTAATGGAGGAACCCATCTGTAGTATTTTAAGAGAAGATGAGAAGATGTAAACTGCTGGACATCCTTAGCATTTCCCATGTTCTTTATTAATTTGAGAGTGATCCTGTGAATAATTTTGGTTTTTAGATTTGTTTGAATATTTTTCTGATTCAACTTGCAGGTTTAGTATCATTTTACAGCTTTCTACAACTCTTTGTTCTTTCTCTCTTCCTTTATGGTTAGACAGCATCGAATATCTATCAGTAATCATGTCCAGACTGACTGCGTTCATACAACTTGTGCTGTTTAACTAATGAATATAATTTCGGAACCAATATGCCATGCCTAGATGATTGATGTGAGTATCTTAGATGAATCTATCCACTAGATGATTGATGTGAGTATCTTAGATGAATCTATCCACCTTGGGAACTTGCAAGAGTTGAGTTCAAGATGTCTGGATGCTTTTTCGTATATAACCAAGGTCTAAACACAGCCTTAACCTTATTCTTAAGAGGAGGTTTGTTTTTTGTATGTCACTAAGTTAACTGCATAAATCCAAATCTCAAGACCAAAACAAATCATAGGGTTACAGGATTTCTTCCAAATTAATGCCAACATATTGTTCAGCAACGGGGAGATTCTGGGGCCTTGCTTGACCAGCCACATTAGATAAATCTCAATACAATCTATGCATGCATGCTTAGTTGTAACCAGATTCTTACCAGGCCACTGATGGCGTAATTTCATTTGAAGATTACAATAAATGATATAATATTTAAGGAATTCACAAAAGTCATGTGAAAATAAAAGGTGCTGGATTTCCCTTTGAAGGATATGAAATTACTTGATGTTAGAATTGAGGTTTTACAGTTAGTCAGAGGTTTACGATCAGATCTGTATAATGTGTTTTAGCATCCTTTTGTTTTGGCAAGCAGTTCACGTGCATAGTTTCCGGTGTTTGTTTCATATTTAGAAGCTTGTTTGAGTTCGATGTCTCTATTTTTTTGTCGAAGAGTTCGATGTCTGTATATCATGTAGAAAAGTGATTCCTTTTTTCTTTTGGATGTCTGACCTTGTAAACTTCCGAATCTATTTTTCCGTATTCTTCTTATTGTTCTTCTATCCCTATCTAAAGCTTTATCCCCAAACTGTTTCTTCATTTGGACAGACCTATGTAACTGTTGGTAATAGATTTCTGATTTGTCTTTAGAATTGCATCCTAAGCGGTGGTTACAAGTTACGACTTCCCTGATTGACTTCATATGAACAAAGTCATGCGGAGTTTAACAATTTTTCGTATTGTATAATGCTTCACGTGGATGTATTAGTTTACCGTCATGCTTTTGTATCATTCTCTAGTGTCATATTCTAACTAAAAGTAAATGATGTGGCCAATTGCATACTAGACATACCTCGGAACTGCTGGAATGACCTCCTTACAGCTTACAGGGGATGTGGAGGGAGAGTCCATGTTAGATACGTTGTTAGTGATATGCATGCAGACTTCATCCAGACTAAATGTGACTGCTTAACCTCGGTTGCTTCCACCCTTCCACTTACACTTAGGTCAATGTGATTTCTCCCACTTACCATCGAATCGAATTGAAATTTTAATGCTTTATGCATGGATACTAGACAAAGGCATAAACAGTGGCACTGATGGATTTGCTATGCTCTTCACTTGAAATTGGTGTGCGTGATCTTCTAGCAATAACTTATGAGCAATTGGTATTTGTGAATAATTTTTGAATTGCAGATGCTTGTCATTTACTGATAGATAATCAAAAGAAGGGTGACATTTGACAGTCTATTTCCAATTTGGATGTCTAATTATCCATCACGGAACTGTCAAGGGGCACTTGGCTGATAACTTTCACAGTCCAAAGATGGTTTGCGCTAAGATGGTCTGCGCTGAAATGTCAGCTGCTTAGCCTCTCTCTCCATCTGCTTCATTATGTTGTCCTCTTTGCCTGCATGTTTAACGTACAAGCAGAGTACAAACAAGGGACTTTTAGAAAAGTTAACCCTTTCTTTAGCACATTAAGGCCTTGTTTAATTTGGTGGCATATTGGTTTGATGTCCGTGTGTGTGTGTGTCTATTCTGCACATTTGTTTGATGTCCGTGTGTGTATTATGCACATTTGTGTGTGTGTGTGTGTGTATTCTGCACATTTGGTTAAACAGAGGTTTACGGTCATCTACTTGGTTTATAACCATGATATTACATTGTGAATGTTTTGTACTGTGTGGGGTTGATGCTGAAATATTTTGTGGTTGTTGGTTGCAGAGAAGAGGAGCATAAACGGAAGGCTAAGGCTAAGGCTACTGGATTTTGTAAATTATGGAGATCTACTTTGGAATGCTATACTATAGTTCACTGGCATTTTGTAAAATATCCTGGATGAAAGTTTGGTGAATGATGTTTTAAGAGTCAATCAATGGCAAAGATTGACTTGTCACAAGTATCTTCTTATGTACTTGTATTTGTTGAAGTTGCATGTATTGGGCACTATTCTTTTTCTTATTTTGGGTGATAGAGTTTAAATCAAGTTACATTTGCAAATTAAACTCAACCACTTATAAATAGTATGTCTCAACTATAGTATGTCCCAATTCTATTAGCAGGTAATAGAAACAAAACAATTGTCCTCTTTTTTTAAGATTCATAATATACATGGCAAAAATATGCTCCAAAACCCATATCATGAGATTTGTAGCATTACTCTATTACACAATGGCAAAAATTTGTAGTCCTACTCTAAGCAAACACAAATCTGGTGAACAATATTGTTTTTATTATCCTGCTTCTTAGTTCGACACTGCACCAAACGCTTCACTAAGTTAGTCCAGCTTAGTCTAGTCTAAGCCAGTCCAGCTTAGTCCCTGCAGCTAGTCCAGTCCGAGACAGTCCGGCGCAACAAACGCACCCTTAGAGTTAATGTTATACTTCCATTAAGTATAAAATAAGATTTTGTGGTATCTACTAGTGTAAATATTTTAAATTGAAAATCAAATTTATTCATTGCATTCTTATAGGGTCGAGGAGTGTTGCTGTAAAAAAATCATCAAAATCGGAGCTAAAATAACCATTAAATTGTGATTTTTCGTTTATAACCGTCGAAAACTTTTGTTCCGTTACCTAAGCTCTGAATGTTTTTTTTTTTTGCAATTTTTACGTATGTGATCTTGTAGTATCTACAAACAAGTTTGACGGTTAGATCATGGAAACTAGTTTCGTAGAATGCATATCTCCGTTAAATTTGCCTAAATTTTGTAGTGGGAAAAGTAATTTGTGCTAAATTTTTATTTATGTTTTTCAAGTATTGATTAGACAATATTTAGTTTGTGTGATGACATTTTCATTGTACAATTCTCTTTTTGTTTATTTAAAGCATATTTTACATGAGTTATTATCTATTAAACCAAAAGTGTAAATTATCTATTAAACCAAACAATTATTTATTTAATTTTTAAAAACGTATTCTATATAAATACATATTATTTATTTATTAAATCAAACAATTATTTTTTTATTTTTTTAAATCGTAACAAAAATGGGGGGAATTTAAAATTTTTGGATGCCGCCATTTTGTTTCTGTCGGTTTTAACCGACAGTAATGACAATTTTCAAAATTAAAACCCCTCAATCTCTTTCCTTGCGCATGTGCTTCTCCCTTCCTCCTTTTTTCTTCTCCTCATTTCCTTCTCCTTCTCGCTTCAATCACCATGGATGAACAAGGCACAAGTTATTCTCCCCCCCCCCACCCTTTCCACCTGTAGCAACTTAACCTCCGCCCACCGCAACTCTAACCTACGCACCAGCCATCACCAACTATCTGCATTCCCTTCGAACCTCCATCTTTTCTCATATTCCCATGCCAAAACCCTCGCCAAACCTCGAATCTTTCTTCCCCACTTGGTTGCTTCACTGGTTTGCCTCCTACCCTCTTCGTATTTTTCAAAATTGTTGAAAACCCGTTGCTTGATTTTCCATTTAGTAAAAACCCAATTGGAATTTTTGGGGTTTTAATGGCGGCTGTGTGTTTTTTCAGGAACAAGTTGATGAGACGGACATAATGGTGAAGCCTGATGGAGTTCAACGTGGCCTCGTAAGCTAATTTAATTCTCTAATCTTGTATTTTAGTTTGTTCAATTTGAAGGGTGATTGGAGCTGGAAAACTTGGGGCAGTTATGAAATTGTGAAATTTTCGAAATTTTGATTGTGTTCTGAAATTTTCGCTTCTGGGCTTTTGAAAAAACAAAAGCTTGAACTTTAATTTATTCACATTTATTGACTGGGGAGGAGGAAGATCTCTCGGGTTTTAGATTTTAGCTTGGTGTTCTTAGTGTTAATATGTGTGATATGGGGTGAATTGTTTTAGGTTGGAGAGATAATCTCTAGGTTTGAAAAGAAGGGATTTAAGCTGACTGGCTTGAAGCTCTTCCAGTGCTCACCTTCAACTTTCCTTACTTCACTTGAATATCCCTCGATAACCTCCCTTCTCCAGAGCTTGAATAAAAACCAGTGCTCTAATTAGTCTCTGACTAATTTTGGTTTGTATACCGAGCAGCATCCTCATCTTCCCTGATTACGAAGATTCCCTATAATAGTAGACTAATAGAATCATTGGTGTCCTTTCTGCCTACCTCATTCAATTATTCGAAGAATGGAAAATTTCAGATTTCTCATGTTTAGCTCAGGACATTTTTTTGGACAATGTTAGTTGAGACGCTGTCGGTTTTTATTTTTTGGATTGAAATTTTTGTTTGCTGGTAAAGTTGTAAACTTGGCTCCTCGCATATGTAAAGAGTCATACTCTTCCTTGTTAAGAAATCATTGCTCGATGTCTGCAGAAACTTTCCCTTTGTATGATTTTATTGAGTTCCATTTGCTTATGTGTCGGATTGTGAGTTACAAATATAAAAGAATGACTCCGTATATGTAAGGAGCCAAGCAGTTTCAGCTTGAAGCTCTTCCAGTGCCCCCAAGACTTAGCAGAGGTTCAAAGATCCAGTCACTCTCTGCACAAGAAAAACCTACGACAAGTAGAGCATCGAAAAATGGCTTTCTCAGGTAATCTCTCATGTCCTGTCACAATCCATCCATGGTGCCAACTCATACTCTTCGCCATTTCATCAATCAGTGGCCGGAGATGGGCAAACAATTTGATCCTCATTGCTTTGTATTTTCAGGATGAACTGTAGGAAGTGAAGAATATGGTGTACCTTATTAGCTCAATCTGGTTTGCTCCTTAGCTGCAGAATCTGGTTCAAGCATGGTGGGTCATTTCGAGCAGAAGTAGAATGCTCAACAAGAAGGAGAAGGTGAAGAAGGGATAATGCTGTCATGTCGTTTTTATATTTTTTTTAATTATTAATCAATTTTCTGTCGGTTTTATCCGACAGAGTATGGTCTTATTTATAATTAATATATTACCTGGTGATTTTAACCGACACAATTTCTGTCGGTTGTATACATTTTCTGTTGGTTTTATCCGACAGAAAATGCTATTATTTATTTATTATTAATTTATTCTCTGTCGGTTATATTCGACACTATTTCTGTCGGAAAATTCATTTCCTGACGTTGGCAATTCTGTCGCTTATTATATCCGTCACTACATCTATTTTCTGTCGGATTTTGCTTAAAATCCGATAGTAATATATGTTTTTTGTCGGTTTTTGAACCGTTAGTTATAAATAATTTTGTAGTAGTGTAAAACTGACTCAAATCAATTCACTGCAACATATATCATTAATCTTATCCATAATCTAGCATTGCAATATGAGTAGGTTCTAGAATACGCTAGGACGGTGCCTAAGCGGTCCAGACGAGTGCCTCAGTAGGTCTAGGCGTCCTTTCTTAATTTTCAAACACCTAGGCATTAATCAGGACGGTGGTCAACCGCCTAGCGCCTAGGTGGCGCTAGGCGTGGATTTTTAGAACAGTACTAACACTGATTGCTGGACTTGTGGTCTCAATAGAGCACTCTGGTCTGGTGGTCTCAGCAAAGCACCCTGAAACAAGCATAGTTGATTGCAAAATTACCAGTCAAGATTGTGGTATAAAATTCTAATGCCCACCTGGAATTTCCTGAAGTGAAGACCAGTACTTTGCTACCTTATCTGGGTTTTCCGGCGGGGATAGCCCTAGAATCCTAGATGGAAATAGGCCTGGGATGGTCGGGAAGGACAGTGGTGGCACATCTGCCAGACCAGGTGCAGCTCATGTTGCCAATAGGAGTAGTGAAAGTAGTGCTTGAGCTTGTCTAGACATGGCTATTGTGAAGCTTGGAACGGCTCTTTTGTGCTATATCAGAAAAGGTTTTGGTAGATTTGGGTATATGCTTTGATGTTGGAGGAGGGAGGGTAAGGATTTATATAGAAGCAATGAGTCTGAACCAAGTCAAAGATTTTGATGGTCAGGTGAGTAGGTTACCAATGGATACTAAACTCAAACAGTTTTAATGCAGTTTTATGTGTTTTGATTTGATGAGCTTTGGTATTAGAGCAAAACGTTATAACTGTTTTAGGTGAGTAGGTTACAAGTGGATATTAAATTTTATATGTGTACATGATATACCGTTACGACAAGAGTGAATTCGTACGTAATGTCATGCGACAGTGTGAGAGTTGCATTGAAAACTTTCTTGTGGTTTCCAATCTCATGAGATGAATTCAATGCTTCAGAGTCAAGTGTCGTAAGCAAAACAATTAAAAGTCGTCATACTAATTCGATTACCGCACAACAAATCGGTAGAGATAAGGGAACACAACTTACAGCAAACAGTGATGAACAATGAAACATCATCTGTAACTTGAATGATTTTCAAGTTCAAGCACATCATTTTCCATTTCATCAATTTAATCTATATATATAAAGTCAGAAGGCTAAATTGGTGAAGCATTCGAAAACCCCTAAAATGCCCATTGTGAATTCGAACAACTCTGGTTTTCGGCAAAACTGGTGGATTTAGGAGTTTATGGGTGTGGGATTAGAAGAATCGTAATTCTACATTATTTTGCTGAATAAAAAAACATTACAAACTCTGTCAATTCTTATGGTTGTGGGATTCGAAGAAAAACTGACTCCATGCAACAGGAAACAATTATCCTATTTTGTTTCAGATATTATATTTGTGTGCATATTTTCATACACAAAATATTTAGGACGGTTGCCTGTTACAAGGAACTATTCATAGCCATATTCCCGTCTGCACATCTGATTTCTGCATTGGCTCATAACAATGACACTCGATGAGGAACATGCATGTCTGCACATCTTATCAGAATTAATTCAGATTATTTTTTGTTCAGCAAAAAAATGTAGAATTACTTTTCTTCTAGTCCCACAAACTTTGCGGGTCAATGAATGATGCAAAGTAGTGAATAGCTAGAACAATAAAGCCAGTTTGTTGAAACTCATAAATCTACCAGTTTTGCCGAAAACCAGACTGCATCATAGCAACGTATCATAGTGGTTTAGAATTTGTGGCATGTTGAAGAAACTAATAAGATCAAAGATTTTATGTTTCTTCATTCTTTTGTTGCTTGATACATTTCCTATTTTGTTCTATGATTTAAATAGTGTATTTCTGTGTTTTCTTTTCCTGTCAAATTAACGTCTTTTAATTATATTTATTAGGCTTGCAACAAGGTCGTTTTGTTCTTCCCTTCCAAGTTGTTCACTTCTCATGCCACAAATAATAATTCACAACAGGGGGTCCCTTCGTTCTCCCCTTACAATTTTGTTCTTCCCTTTCAATTTGTTTCCCTAGATAATTTTGTGAGGATAGCCGTACAGCATGCCATGTTTCTTCATTATCTAATCCATTGCAGTGTTTTTTCATTTTTCATTTTTTTTTTCTCCTTTTTGTACTGGTAGACATTTTTGTGTATTTACAGACATCATATTTTATGGCTCCCCCTACATAACAGATTAACTTTTTTTATTTACAAGAACTCCCAAGAAATGCAACAAACCTAAAAATGAACCACCTACCTAGCTGACAGATTTCTATTTTTTCGCCTGGTTGGGGCATCTCCGTTGGGTGAAAACTGTTGATCTGAACAAACTAATTCTCAAAGAGATTATGTCACACCCCGATCCCGAGATATGTCCAAGATCGACATACATCATTGTGTAACTATTCATATATCGCCTTGTCTTTGAGACATGACCAAAACAAGTCGACGATTCAACAACTCAGTAATTTTTCCTTATATCATGCATCTAACCTATGTGCTAGACCGCTTACGTACCCTAAGATGGGATCAAGTCAATCACAATTCACATATATTTGAGACGAGAGATTAAGATTGTTGGGTTCTTACCGTTGTTTGACAAATTTAATAAGCTCCATTTCATGTGTTTCTGAAAGTTCATGCAACACTGATGAAGAATATAATACAACAACAACAACAACAACAACAACAACAAAGCCTTTTCCCACTAAGTGGGGTCGGCTATATGAATCCTAGAACGCCATTGCGCTTGGTTTTGTGTCATGTCCTCCGTTAGATCCAAGTACTCAAGTCTTTTCTTAGGGTCTCTTCCAAAGTTTTCCTAGGTCTTCCTCTACCCCTTCGACCCTGAACCTCTGTCCCGTAGTCACATTTTCGAACCGGAGCGTCAGTAGGCCTTCTTTGCACATGTCCAAACCACCGGAACCGATTCATATTTCCTTCAATTTTGGCTACTCCTACTTTACCTCGGATATCCTCATTCCCAATCTTATCCTTTCTCGTGTGCCCATACATCCCACGAAGCATCCTCATCTCCGCTACACCCATTTTGTGTACGTGTTGATGCTTCACCGCCCAACATTCTGTGCCATACAACATCGCTGGCCTTATTGCCGTCCTATAAAATTTTCCCTTGAGCTTCAGTGGCCTACGACGGTCACACAACACGCCGGATGCACTCTTACACTTCATCCATCCAGCTTGTATTCTATGGTTGAGATCTCCACCTAATTCTCCGTTCTCTTGCAAGATAGATCCTAGGTAGCGACAACGGTCACTTTTTGTGATCTTCGCTAGATTGCTCCGGTCATTAGTGTGGATAAGTATATAAATGGATAGAAATAGGAAAGCAAACACAAGATGTACGTGGTTCACCCAGATTGGCTACGTCCACGGAATAGGGGAGTTCTCATTAATTGTGAAGGGTTTACACAAGTACATAGGTTCAAGCTCTCCTTTAGTGAGTACAAGTGAATGATTTAGTACAAATGACATTAGGAAATATTGTGGGAGAATGATCTCGTAACCACGAAACTTCTAAGTACCGGAGTGTGGTATCGTCTTGACTTGCTTTATCTGTCTCATAGGTAGATGTGGCATCTTCTCTGGAAGTACTCTTCCTCCATCCAGGGGTGGTATCTGTAACTGGTGGAGATGCACAAGGTAATGTATCAATTTCACTTGAAGCTTACTTGTAGTTTCAGGCTTGGTCAAGCGCAATACAAACCATGTAGTAGGAGTCCCCCAAGTCGCCGGGCTAGGGGATCTGCTGAAAGAGGTGACAGACAAGGTAAGCAATCAGAGCTCCGGCTGATTGTTCACATTCTCCCTATCTGCACTTGCAGGCAGCATGAAGGATAAAGAGAAGAAAAATGAGAAGAGATGATATGGGATACTTTTGCTTTTGAAGAAGTAACTTTCCACATGCTTATTCTTGAACCGGGCTGGAGGGTTTTCTGGTTTCCTCCAGAGTATAAGGCCGACTGAAGAATTTGAGGGTCAAAACAAGTCCATCAAATCTAGAGTACGTTCGACCTTGCTGATATGGGATACTTTTTGCTTTTGACAGAGTAGTGGATGTATCGGCACGTGTGTTGTTACGCTTGTCTCCACATGCTTCCTTGTATCCTTCTCACTTGCCCTATCTGTCCCTCAGGCAGATGCGGTATCTTCCCTGGAAGTATAAGATGTTGAAGATGAGTACTCGAGAGCAATGCCAGGTAAGTAATCAGGTAAGGGGTTCCAGGCAGTCAGTTCCTGGCTGGAAGCTTGATTCCAAGTGCTGACTGATTGCTCTCTTTCTCCTTGTCTTGCAGGTAAGAACAAGGCCAAAGGAAAAGACAGGGAAAAAGCATGATATGGGATACTCTTGCTTTTAACCCTGATGATATGAGATATTCTTGCTCTAGTATAGCTTGTTTACAGAGGTATTATCGGGGGGAAAGAAAGCTGAATATTTCGAAAGGCTTCGTTGGGAGTGCCCTCTCAGATAAGAGAAAGGGTTGAGCATTTTTTGCAGGTCTGCCTGTCTGCCTGTCCGTTAGGGATGGAGGTCGACATATATAGGAGTCTCCCTAACATCAAGTAATAATGCTATTCCTTTACCCTGCTTGGTCATATCACGGTAGTGGGAGCTGCCAGCTTCACATGTTTTAACT